CTCTCCCCCTTTCTTTCTCTCTCTCTTTCTCTCTCTCTTTCTCTCTCTCTCTTTCTCTCTCTTTCCCTCTCTCCCATCTCTCTCTCTCTGCTGGAGGAAGCCCGCCCGCCCCGCGTGTTGTTGAATCAGAACCCCTTTCTGTTATGACGGCACCCCTGACAAACAATCTCTCCCCCCCCACCATTCTTGCCCCCTATTCCCGTCCCTTTACTCCCCCTCCAGCCCCCCATCTTACACACGAACGGTATGTAAAACGGTTGGAGCGCACCGCTCGAAGCGCGATAAAAATAACTCGACTGGGGAACAGTATGTAAATCGGCGCCGCAGTGATATTTATATTGGTGAGGGAGGGAGAGAGAGAGAGAGGGAGAGGGGGGGGGGTAAGAGCGGCGAGGCGTAGAGAGAGAGAGAGGGGAGGGGATTTATTTCGAAAATAAGGGGAGCTCGATATCGACGACAGGGCATGAGCAGACCACGACCAAGCCGCGCGTCTGCAGCAGGGCGAGACGAAAAAAAACTAATCCCAGCGGGCATTTGAAAATGGGCCTCGTTTTAGTACACAGAGGCGGGTGTATAGTTCAAACGGCCCCGCATTCTCCTCCTAGCATACCGCTCTGCGAAATTTTTGCACGATTCTTCCTGATTGCGCATCACAAACAAAAATTGCATGCATAAAAGGGATTCCCGCGCGAGTTGAGCACGAGCACGCAGCTTTTCCTCCGGACTAGGGTTGGAAGCCCTGGAAAGTTACCGAAAATTGCAGGAAATTTTCCTGGGGGAAAAAGAAAAATTTACCATACTTTAGAAGTTTTCCGTTATTTTCCAGGAGTTTTCCGTAAAATTTTGGAAATTTCCAACCCTACTATAGAGTGAGCATACGGTAAAGAAATTGTCTTGTATTTCAGGGCCCATGTCTTGGATCTTATGGAGAAGCCAATGGCATCCAAGACCAGGTCCTGAAATGCATTTTTACCGTTCAGCCTATCCTGTGGCAGCATCCCTCGTCAGCCAGCCTCTCCTTCTCCTATCTGCCACATTGCTGATGCACCCCATCCTCCTGCTGCAGAGCGTATCCACCTGCTCCATCATGCAGTGCAGCCTCCAGGACGCGCGCCGCGGAGCCGCTGCCGCTCGATATACAGGGGACAGAGCCGCGGGTTGCCCCCCCCCCCCCCCCTTCCCTCCCCACGAACTCTCTGACCTCATTCATTCCCATCATCTCATCGGGACACATTTGAGGCAGAGTTATAATGAAGATGCGGCCTGCATGAACTCTCTCGCGGGGCGGGGACGTGTGTGTGTGTGGATAAATAGATAAATGGTATAGAATTACGGACGGTCAGACCACATACACCGACAGACAGACAGATAGACGTGCGGACGAGCCGCAGCCGCAGCCGTTTCGCGCGTGTCAGTCAGTCGAACGGGAATCTGTTCGACAGGCGGTGGCGTTCCACAGGCAGGCAGAGCCAGAGCGCGCGGACCGGCGCGGCGCGGAGCGGGGCCGGCACCGGCAAACCCCGTGATCAAGTGTTCTGTATTACAATGCAGCTGGACGGCCGGGCGGAGGCGAGGGAACCGAGGGAACCGGTCAGCCGCTGGCTGCCGCTGGCCCAAGTACGGGCGCGGCGGCCCGCAGGCGCGCAGAGGGCTCAGCGGAGAGGGCCTCGGGGGCATCAAAGGGCCTCTGAATGCCGGACGCTAACGAATGGGGCTGCGGCCGACCGCGCCGGCTGGCCGGGCAGTTTGATACAGTATAGAGAGCCTCTGATCGCGGCTCCATAGTCCTCCTCTCCGCACAGTTACAGGTTCTATGCGGTCGTTTCGCCACGAGTCATGCGTACTACAAACGCTCAGGAATAGGCTCGAAGCGTGAGACGCAGTCCAACATTTTGCAAGTGCTAGAGTAAGTCTCACGCTGTCTGCAACAGCAAGACTGTAAACGTGTCTCACGTTTACGAGTATCATCAGACCGTCATGAGTGATCTCAAACTTGCACGAGTGGGAGCACATAGTGGTCACGTCGTAAGGGAACATCAAAGTGAAGTGAAGTGTTAAAGTGTGATGCGTCATGTGTGGTCTAACACACTTAAAACTGTGAGACACGTGTGGTCTTTGAGTTGCAAGGGTAAGACACCTGGATTAAACTTACAACTTTTTACAATGAAACACAGTTGAGTTTCCAGGGCAGTGAGACTTTTACGGACTTTTATACCACAAACCGGAAAATCGGGGAAAATCGGCGTCCCGCTGCTTTGCAGCGGGTCGTCAAACAGCTCCGTAGTTATTCGAGCTTATTCTCGCTCTGCCCCGCCCCACAGCTGCAGCTGCATCCTCCAGACTCAGGTGTAGAGCCAGCTGCAGCACGCTGGACTGGGCAGCCCTGCTCGCACTAGCGCACCACCAGCGAGCTAGCCGGCTTAGGCCGCATAGTACGTAGTATAGTAGGAGAGCGTAGCGCGAGAGGGTGGGGCGGAGCGGGGCGCGGCG